TCTCCGAAAAATGACAAGTGACCTGACTTCAGAATTCTTTACAGTTTACTGAGTTCTCTGATATAGGCAAAAAAATTTTTTTTAAATCTATAGTCAGTCACATGAGGAAACATGCTCAGAGAGGTAGATCCAGGGTCATACCCCAAACGTGTAGTGGGGCTCAAAGGTACCGCTTTTGTTACCAAATCCCAGGTTCTTCCTATTTTTTCATGCTGATTTGCTTTTCCCTGAGTCCGTACAGTTCTTTCTGATTGGCAGATTGAATGTCAAGGAATATCCTCTGCTGAACACAGATCTGGTTCCCTGGTTCCTACATCTACTTTCTAAAAGGCCTTTGCTGCCTGTTTAGCACTGTTCATTCATTCATTCATTCACTCATTCATTCAGCAGTTATTGAGCATAAACTCTCCCCAGCTAGCTGGAGAGCACAAACGTATAAATTAGGGGGCTGGCTTTGTCCCCATGGATGCTTTTTGTTTTTTTTTTTTTGACAGTGACTGATTTTTGCCTCTTGCAGAAATGCCAGATAATGCAGCAGCTCTTCTGGGCACGTGCTGTAAACTCCAGATTATTCCTACGCTGTGTCACCTGGTAAGGAACCCAGATGGGACCTGGGGATGGGCAGGAGTGGGGAAGTGATGAGGAGATGGACACCTAACAGATGATAAAACACCTCGAGGGTTTCTCATCCACAGCAGCCCTTCAAAATAGGTTAAATGGGTATTATTATTAACCCCGTTTTTAACCTCCTACCACACCGCACCCCACAGGAAGACTGCAGCCCAGGGGAAAAGATTTGTTGGAAGAACTTGCTAGCAGGGCTAGGACTCCAAACTTCATGCTTTCCTCATCATCCTGAGAAAATTTTGGCCAAGGCCTGATGCACCAGCGCAGGCGAGGCATCTGGCACCATATCATCTGCAACAGCAGATCTGTGGCTAGGCCTTCTGCACCGAACTCCCCCAGTGAGGTATTCAGGAGGACCACTTTATCTCAGGGAGACATTGCATTCTCTCTGAGGGATATTTTAGCTGTGTGCTCTCAGGAAATGTCATGGCAAGGGCACAAGGTAATGGTCAGCTTAGCCCCGGAGAGTCAATATACAGCTTTTCCCTTTAAAATTACAAATTGGGTCATTAATAGAAGGAACCGTCAGCGGGCTGCCCGGAAACCCCTCTAATGGGGCAGAGTAACGGAGCACACCTGGCGAGATTATTTTAAGACCTGGTTACTAAGGGTGGAGGCCAGCATGCTATGTAGGCCCAAAGGACCAAAGCTCAGGGCTCTGTGCCCAGATCTGGGACACGGGGAGAGGGGTGGACTGCCTAGCTAGGACCCTGAAATGTGTTAGGCATCCTCCCTGGGAATTCGAGCTCTGCGGTCAGTGTCTTTGGCACGCCTTTGGACAGCAAGGACATCTGAAGACTGCAGCCAGGCATCTTCCAGGGAGCAGTTTAGGTGTCGTTCACAACTGAAAGCAGATTCTGCCGCCCAGAGAAACGCTGCATTCTTTTGACCACAAAACTACTTGAAAGTGTGCCAGTGTGTGTGTCCCGTGGCCAGCTGAGAGCCAAACTGACGGTGTGTGGTTATGGACACAGTACATTTCATTGTCAAATTGTCTGTCCTGATGAGCATGGCAGGAGCTCTGCTTTCATAGCCCAGCTCCATTTTACAGCCACTGAGCGTTCAGTATGTACAAAGTCATCAGCTGCATCCGGGAGGTATGTAAAAAGGAACACAGCAGCTAACGCCTTCTCCCGGCAAACTCACGCTTAGTTGTCCCCTTCCTTGCAGACCAGCCCTAGGACTGATCTTTGTCTTCCCCAAGTTCTGCTCTGTTGGTGGTCCAGAAGTAGACCTTAGGACACACATGGAGTTCCAGAATGGCTGTTATCTGTGTTGGCACTGAACTCCCCCCTCCCCCGCCCCGCCATAGAGTCCTTTGCTTGCCTTCATGGGATGCTCAACGTAGAGAAAGAAATACTCTTTCTTTAAAGACTTTCCCGGACATCTTCACACAATCTCCCCTAGATGTTGCAACAACTCTTCTTAAGACAGCGAGTCTCCTGCTTCCTGCAGGAATTTGGGTATTGTGTGTTTCTTACAGGGGTTTACTTAGAACAGGGTATAAAAATCTACCTGCATGCCTGTCTTGTCTTGTCTGGAGGCCAGAGTAACCTTGAGAGGCGTTCTAAGGGGCTTTTGGGAGGACAGTGTCAGACGCTAGCACATGAGCCGAACTGGTAAGAAGGTGAGTTAGAATCATTAACAGAGAGTGCTAATTTCGCCCTCTACCGCCCTCTGGGTGACCAGAAGCTCTTTTATACCTACTAGTGTCTCTGGGCACTCGGGGTTGGCAGATGCCCAGAGAAGGAGGCTGGATCCGCCCAGCACTTCCCTGCCAGACCCAGACACCACGCTGCTGGCGGCCTGCAGCCAGTGGGGCTTGTTCTCAAATCGCTGGGACATGGTGCTCTGCTTTAAGGAGCAGGTCCACTCCACACTCTGAGTGGTCTGGGGCCAAATGGGAACGCTGAACCTGTGGTTACACTGTGTGAACTGTACTTGGCAAATCTACAAGCTGCGTTTGTAAGGCCGATTTTGATAACGGACACATGAGTCGTTTGTATTCAAATGAGTGCTGCCTTTGGCCTTGGGGCCAGCTGCGTATCACAGTAAGGTTACCTGGAATTCTTTAGGATTCCCTTCAGATTTAGTTAAATTTCACACATACATTATAGGCTTCATTTTTTTTTTTTTTTCTGAAAAATTTTACTCTCTGCCTTCCTAATCCAGTCTGGTTCTGAATGCCTGTTTAAAAATCAAATCAACTGGCAAGATGAAAAAATAAATTGTCCCAAGCACTGATCAAGACCCTAAAGGCCAAGTTTCAGATGTTTTGAGCAGCGTGGGAAGTGCCCTCTCTGAGGAACTACCATCCGGCCAGGCAGCACCCTGAGAGTCCGCGGTCCGGGCAGGGTGAATGGTGGCCGTGACTGACCAGGTCCCTGCTCGCCTGGGCTTTGGTCTCAGGAAACAGACTAAACAAGTTGAGAAACATAATTTCAGATACAGTAAGCATATGAAGACAGGATAATAACGTAGTGGGGGTCGGAAGTGGATGGATGGGGAGGGCATTAGGGAAGGCCCAGCATTTCAGCTGACCACCGAGAGAAGAAAAGGTCTCCATGGACCTCTGGAGGGAGAGTACTCAGGCAGAAGGAGAGCAGAGCCTCTTGAGGCGGGAAGCTTAACTAAATAAACTTTGGTACCTACCCCTCTGAGGGGTTTGTGCAAACATTTATTTTTATTCATTTAAATAAAAAAAAAAATCAAATAAACCTTACATAATGCGTGCATGAGAAAGTTACATTTTGACCTTTCTAATCTCCTGGCACTGATGGATGTAGTAGCAGGTAGCGTTCGGAGTAGGGGTTCAGACAGAAGACAACAGGAAAATTGGAAAGATCAGGCCTGAGATCCTGGCTTGGGTCAGATATGTCATTACATTAAATTCTCTGTTCCATTTGGAGAATTTAAATAACAACTTATTTTTTTCATCATGAGCTAGTGCGTTACTATCCAGCTCTGTGGATTTTCTATAACATTTTTAAGTGAGTGTGTTTAAATGTGCCATTTCAGCTCCACGTGCTGTCTGCTGATGGAGAATCTGATCTTGAAGACGCAGCCCTGGCTCCTCTGAGAGATACAGAGAGGTTTGAGATTGTGCAGCGCCTGCTTGCTGCAGCTGACATTAACCTGGAGCGACAGCAGTCGTCCGTGAAAGCTGTCACCTGCCAAGTTCCTAACGTTTCCCCGCTCGTTCTTTATATAAGCCTGAATGGACTCTGGGCTTTAGGCAGAATGCATCAGTAACGTCACACGTGAATCATGAGGACATGTTCTCGGCCAAGGCTGGGTAACTTTCAGGATCGTTGAGATACTACTTTGGGGCCTAGGTCAGATCTATGTTGAAAGATGCTCAAGGAAATGAATTTACAAGAGTCTATGGAGTGGTAACTTTTTACGCTAGGAATCGCCTTGAGTTTAGCCACCAGGTACTCTGTTTCTGTTTCATACGAGGCCCTCCTGTGCTGGTCACCCCATGTGCAAGTTCAACTCCAGCACCCGAAGGCCTGGGGAAGGGATGAGAATTCTAAGCCAGAGTACATTCAGACCTTTTTTTTCTGGAGCGGCACTGAAAAAAATGGGTCCATCTATCACTTACATTTCCCTCTTTCTTCCTGTTGTACCAAAACAAATGGGTCTGCCACTTTGATCCAAAAATTCACTTTAAATTGTGAACGTTGTGGAAGGGCAATTTCTCTTCATAGAAGGCTACGTTTTGGACGTGCTATATGCCTTGCAGTGACTGAAAAATGAACTGTAAGTGCCACTAGAGCACATATATTCTTCTGCTAAACAAAATTATACTAGAAAAATCTAATAGCAGGGCACCTTTCCTTAAGGGTCTAGCTATATGCATTTTATTTGGCTTTGATGAACATAATAATTCTCTGTCAAGAACAATGTGCTAGTATCCCATACAATCTTGATGTTTAATTTGTAAAATACTACATCCCGTATCCAAGGAAACTCTGAACTGTGTGTATGTCGCTTTTTATTGTTTCCATATCCTTCTATAAATAGCCTGGACTGTCCCCTTGCTACTGGGGACCTGAAGCCAGCACCCTGCTTTCTGCCTTAGCAGAAAGTAGCTATCCCTCCTGCTAGAACCTGTCTGTCTTCAGGAGCATGGGGGTGAGGAGCCGCAGTTGTTGGGGAGAAACATTTCACTCGGTATTTTTTTTTTACCTCAATATCATCTACTTATTCCTTTCCTGCCCTTAAGATTCGAATTAACATTAATGGGGAAGAAATGGAGCAAATAACCATTTCATCACCTCTAGTAAAAATGAGACTAAACCTTATGCAAATACTTATGAGACGTGAGGGGAAAAAAGGAGTATAACGTGGTGGCAACAACATAAAAAATAAGCACCTTATATGCAAATTGGAAAGGAATATGCAAAAGCGGAAGCACTCGTGCTAAAATGGGGGCACTGTCCATGCGTTTTTGTCTGGTGTTCTGAAATAAGTTTAGAGAACAAACCAAAGACCGAACATGTAATATGAATCTACTTGTGTAAAAAATAGATACACATGTATCACAACACATGGGAAGAATTTACTAGAAACCCAACAGCGGCTCCTTTGGGGAGAGGATTTAGAGGCTGGGGCAAAAGATGGGGAAGGTGGGTGGGGTTCACCCTCTATTCCTGTTAGAATTTCATATGTATTATCCTCTAAATTAAAACAAAAACAAAAACAAAAAACTGAACCAAAACACCAAAAAATAGAGACAAACTTCAGACAGAAAGACAAGATGCCATCCCAGCAAGTGCCCAAAGTTTGGGTTACATCAAACAGGCAACTAAGGCATTTTGACTGTTTCCACAAATGCCCTAACACTGGCCAGTTACCCTGTTAGACTGTGCTTTAAAAATTAGCTACTGGAAAGGATGTAGCCTTATGCTGCTACAGGTGTTCCCAGCCCCCCAGTGATTGCTGGGCTTCTGAGCAGACCTCCACTGGGGTGTGGTGGTTGACGTAGTGCTGGGCATGCTTGAACGAGGGTGACACTGAGCCTCCAAAAGTTTCTTCTAACTGCTATCTTCATCATTAAATATTATTATTAATTTTAAGTGTGCCTTTATTTATTGCTTGAGATTAAGAACTGTATTTTTTTTTTTTTAATAATTAGATTTGGAAACAAGTTCTAGCAGGCCCGGTCATGTAGAAAGCAGAGAGTGAACAGAGTAATAGCTCCAAGAACAGCACAGGCCACCTTAACTCTGATTTTCCATGACCATTTCTCTTTCATAAGTGGATGCAAGAAGAAACACTGACGTTAGCTCACTAGGTGTGGCCTGACAACACCCCTCAAAGGTTGTCCATGTCCCAGTAATCCCTGGAACCTGAAAACATGCCACTTTCCATGACAAAAAGGACTTCACAGGTGTTTCTAAGGTTCGGGACCTTGAGGTGGACAGCCTATCCTGGATTATCTGGGTGGGATCTTGAAAGACAGAGGAGTCAGCGGGAGAGACTCGGGGGAGAAGAAAATGCAGAAGAGATGAGCCGTGGCAAGGATGCAGTGCTGCTGCTGCTCTGGAAACGGAGGGGCTCGTTCAAGGATGAGAGACCAGTTCATCTGACCGCCAGGAAGAAGTGCGGACTTCGTTCTACGATGGCAAAGAACTGAAGTCCACCGACAACCTGCAAGAGCCTGGACGCGGACGTTTTTCCAGACCTCCAGATGAGAGCCAGGGCGAGCCCCACGAGGCACCCTGACCTCAGCCTGGGAGACCTGTGTCGGATTGCAGACCCACACAAATGACATAAGAAGTTTGTGTTTTTAGCTAAGTTCGTGGTAATTTGTTACGGCAGTGATAGAAAACTGACAGGTAGGTGAAGAATGAACTGCAGTGAGTCCCCACTTAATGTCCATAGTTTCTTGGAAACTGACTAAGCGAAACAGCATGTAACAAAACCAGTTTTACCGCTCACTAATTGATATAAGCAAGGATCAAGTTCCTATGGCGTATTTCCTATGGTCACAGAAACATCACCAAACTTCTAAATAAAGACCCCAAACACTTCCAATATTAAACACTGAAATACATGTGAGCTACACACACATTTAAGAAAGATGAATACAAACAAGATAATTCTTTTCCATTGTGCTCATTCCAGTCCAGGGGCGGTGGGGTGGCCAGAGCCTGTCCCAGCAGCTCAGGGTGCGAGGTGGGTCCCCACGCTGAATAAGACGCCCTTCCATCACAGGGCCACTCACACGCCCACACTCAGAATGGGGCGGTTTAGACACGCCAAGTAACCCAACACGCACATCTGTGGGATGCAGAGTCCCCAGAGAAAACCCACACAACCGCGGGAAGAACATGCAGACTCCACACAGACAGTGGCCTCAGCCAGGAATCGATTCCCGCCCCCGCCCCCAACAACATTAGAACGAAACGACATTGGACGAAATGACATTATTTGAGGACCCGCTGTATAAAAAAAAACCCAATTCTTTTGCAGCCATCAGAGATACACTGGACTAGCAATTTCTGAATTATGAGGTACGAAATTTCGGAAAAGGTTGAGGAGGAGTTGCAAAGTACCTTTTCTGGAAACGGGCTTCCTGCACTCACTCACAGTGACGCCTCCAGTTCGTCACCAGCCTGTGGGGAGGCCTGCCCTCCCTGTCACCGCAGGCCTCAGGGCCCAGCTGTGTGCCACGGCAGGCACTGTCTTCCTTGCCAGGGCGTCTCTTCCTTGGCTAACTGGAAAATGATCCTGAGTCCTCTCGGGCCATCTATGCATAGAGGCCTTTTCTTGAGCCTGTGTTTGAATCTTCCCTGTCTCTGACTTCTTTCCTTCAGCATGTTGTCTTCGAGAGCTTGGTTTGGGATAAAGGAAACGCTAGTTAGGGTTTCCTTGTTAAGGAAGAGAGGCATGTGAAAAATTTATTTTGGTGGGAAAAACTAAAGTCATTAGAGGCTTTTTACAAAGATTATTAGCATTTAAAGAAATTACCAAAGCTAATCTCCTATCCTCTGCCTTTTATTATCTCTAAGCTTCAGTTCTACCTATAAATGAAACACTACATTTTTCCAATATTAAATATTTATTTCTTTTTACATACAAAAATATTTTACCAGGCGTATGCAATCTCACAGATTGAACATTTCAGTAATTTTTGCTTTTGACAGCATATGGAAATGTGAAAAGAAAAATTTATAGGGACAGTTCTGAAAAATCAATACTTAATTGTACTGCAAGAAAGTTTTATTTATACAAGGACAGTAATGTTTCTTTTATACAGGAACAAGTAGTACAATTACTTGGAAAGCAGTAGCAATTAAATTTTATTTTTAAATTTTTTCTTCAGAAACTTACATTAGCAGCTTGTTCAGCTTTGATTTTGAAGTTGCTAACAAGCATTTTGTCCTCCATTAAAAAAGAAAAAAGTTCTACAATCACTTCAAAGACTAGAGGTTGAAAAGAGCATGCATTTGTGTTCAAAATAAAGATACACCAAAATGAAATGGGAAAAAGAAAAATCCCCGAAAGCAAAGTTTTCACGACAAATACTCATCCTGGGCTCTAACAGAGCTCAGCGTAACACAGAGAAAATTACACTTGCTGCTGAACGCTTTCTTCTACAGCAAAATACAAGACACCACTTCCTTAAAAACCAGGGTTACTGAAGAAACAGGAGTCAGCGGTTGTTTTTTAAGGACAGCATTCAACCAATAGAGGTATTTATCTTATATTCCAAATACAGAGGGAGCTGTCTGGTCCTACCTGAAAAGGCTGGGGCATTCCTCATTTGGAGCACGTTTGCCAGAACGAGCTTTGTGTGTTCATAGCAGAGTTACTTACACGACTGCCCGCCTCTTCTCTTTAAGGATTCTATGAAAACCACATTTTAACTGCTCATGACTTCTGGTTTAACACTGGAAACTCATAGCTGAGAAATTTTCAATGCTATGTTTTCCCCTCTTCCTCCAAGCTCCTAGGCTGATATGAAGGAAACCCAATTTCAGGAATGGCCTGTCATATTTATGTTTCGACCTCCGGCTTGCTGTTTCTGAAGTACAATAAAGATCTCAATTTCCAACGTTTAAAATGAGACATTTGGCTTCTGCTCTATGTTAACCTGTTCGGTAGAACTCGAGACAGGTTTACAAGTACTGAGTCATTTAATCTCCCAAGTTGTAAATGGTATTTACGTTAACTGTAGATGTGTCCGTTCAGTTTGTGCTGGAGATTAGAAAACAGTAAAAGTTTGTAATGAAGAGAGAAAGAGAGAGGGAGAGGAGAGAGAGGAGAGAGAGGAGAGGAAGGGAGAGGAGGGGAGGGGAGGGGAGGGGAGGAGAGATGAGAGGAGAGAGATTACTTCTGACTTTGGTGTGTGGAGGCCGGAGTTATCATCATAGCACTGCATAATCAGCCAATCACCATAAAGCAATTAAAAAGAGAACTAAAATGCATTCTTGTTGGATTAGAGATCCACTAATGACCTGTTTCTGAATGTTTCTCCCTATAAAGAAACAGACACCCTGTAATTTAATACTATCGATAAAATAATATGGGCTGCAGTGATAAATTTCAGGAATAAGAAATAGTGTAGGGCAGCTTTAAGGGGCAAAGATTAGTGTGTCTTCTGATGTAGGAGTAATGGATTGCTTACTTAAATTTGATTTGTGAGTGGTCTGGCTGACAGCAAGGATTTGCTAAGGGTTTGGACTTAGAATGGGATTCTAATCTAGAATGGGATTCTAATCTAAAATGGACCTCCTGACCAGGGTGACTAAGAACAGAACAGATCTGGAACGATGGCCTCAGAACTGTTTTAAAACTGGAGACAGAATTCCTAAATGGTGTGCACCGTTCACTGCTACCTCTGAAAAAGGTACACATTAAAAGAACTAAAAGATAAATAACCTCAATATAAGTGCATACATATAAAAAACAGATAAGTACCCTAATAAAGATTTTCCAGTTTAGCATTAACCACATCAGAGTTACAAATTACTTCCTGTAATTGAAGCTGAAGACAAACATTAGCCTTATTTAACAAATGGAATCTTAAAAGTATAGGGAGAGATAAATTATATCAAAGGTCACATGGTTAGGAGTCAGAATTAGGATCGCAGCCAGTAGAAGTACACCATCTCTCTTTTTATCAAAAGAGCCTATTTTAAAGAAAGTAGTACAGTATATTGAAGAAGTGGTACAAACCATGCTTTACAGTTTTTACCTTAGAAATGAGAGTTCATCATTTCCTTCACTTTTTGGTGTATTAAGGACTTATTTTTGGTTCTGTGCACTAAATCATTGCAGGGACACAGAAAATAACATGACAAATTATGGGAACTATCGAAAAATGAATAAAACTTGAAGCTAACAAAAATGCATTTAAAAAATAATCTTACCTTAAAAAATTATAGAATTATCCTCAGGTATACAATGTATATTTACATAAAAACTGATATGAGACTGAATAATATTAGTCATTGTATTCTTAAGTTTGAGAAAAATATTCACGTATACTATATACAATAATCCTATCATTTAAAATATTGAATTTCTCCCAAGAACTCGAAATATATTACAGATGAATTCTCGCAGCAAATCCTTTGGAACAAGAGAACAGGTACCATAGTCTCAAGCCTGAACTATACCATGAATTCATTAGCAGGTTTAAATATGTATTTCCCAAGAAATTTCCATTTAGGACTCTCTCCTTTTTCCTTAAGGAAATTAAGTTATAATGAAAATTTTCTGAGCTTAATACTGCATGTGTTAAGATTAGTATCTGTCTCAAGGTAAAATAAAGCCCTTTAAAACAATGTGAAGAAAGTTTCATAATGTCTAAGGATTTGGGAGTAATTAAAAATTTAAGAATACTAGTTATGATTACATGAGTGAATATATTTAGTTTTATTCATGTATTTTGGGAGAATTTTACATATTATACACATAGCTGTATATATATTATATATATGGCGACTCAAACATTTAAAAAATGACCTGCTATCTCTGTACATAAAATTTCAGGATCGCTTTTTTTCATATTTAGTATAAAGATTCATTACTACAAAATTATTGGCTTTCTAGCCTGTGATTTCTGGAAAATGGAGTATTGTTTCAGAAGTCGTAAAATTACAATGTTAGGTAGATCATTATTTTGACCAATTTTCAAACTTTTATGTTCAATGTTTACCAATTCAAAATAATTGTGCCTAACTCCATGGCTATCCATCTTAAAATCAACCCCAATCACAATTGTGACACTTGTTGTTATATATAAAAATAAGTAACGATTTAATAAAATTTTAAAGCAAAGATCATCTTTTATTGTCATTGAGATATTATGGTCAAAGCAGCTAGTATCTGCCCATAATCTAAAATGCCACACTATTGTATTTTATTGCTAATTTGCATTATTTTCTAAATTGGTGTTAATAATTTGCTTTTAAGAAAAAATTGTCCTTATAAGCCATTATAAATTTTACTAGATTCTATAATCTAGGGTTCAGACTACTATTGCTGTAGTCATGTTGGATTTATGATCATGTATTTTAGTAAGCTATGTTCAGCAATTGTATAGTTAGAGTTGGCACAAGTCCTGATGTGTTGGATATTTAATATCACCCAAATATCAAACAGAAATTGAGACTGCATAATCAAGGCATGGCTGTAATAAAGGTGAAATTCTACTTATAGTGCATCATTTATATTTGACTAGTTACAGTTGAATGACTTTTCCAGGGATAGCAATTCTATGGGTATTTGTACATTTGAAAATGAAAAAATATATATATGTGTGTGTGTGTATCATTAGTTGTATATAAATAAATAGTTATGCCCTGAATGCTAAATGCAGATACTCACCTGCCCACAAGGAATCCTCAGGTGCATTAAAGTATTGGCACATCACGTTTCCAAAAGCATAGGTAGGCGCGCGCGCGTGTGTGTGCGTGTGCGTGTGTGTGTGTGTGTGTGTGTGTGTGTGTGTGTGTATTTTAACTATTATCAATGTTCATTATCATTTTGAACCATTTTCTCTGTGGTAGAGCTAATTATCTTAGCCCTTTCCCACAAGACAATCCTGAGGCCACTGGGCCTTGTCCAGCAGAGCTCTGCTGGTTTCTGCAGATTCAGATGGGACTTGAGTTTCAAGTTCAATGACTCTTTATTGAAATACAATGAAATTTTCTAAATTTATTCTCTTCAACTCTGGTATCTAAGCTGAAATGAACTAAACGGTATCATTTTATTTCATATTAGGAGGGATTGGGTGTGTATTAACTAAGTAGTTAGTGATGAATATCATTTATAACAGAAATAATTCTTCTAAGTGTAGATTGTTTTCTAAATAATATGCATTTTTATACCATATGACAAAGCTAAAAATATATATTAGCTTGGCAAAATCGTCTCTATTTTGCCAAGATGGGTGAAACATTTTGTGGATACACTGTTTATGCTGCCGCAATGATCCCAAAGCTCTTGTGGCTCCATGTGGCAGCATGAAGGCACACCTGAGAATGTGGACATGACATTCCCCTTAAAACTGAGTGTGTCGAAACGCGAAGTCATAGGATATTACCTTGACACTGTGTTTTGACTCATGTCACTTTAAGAAACCAAGAACGTGATGTAAATAGATGCAGTTTAAAAGTTATCAAAGTTATTAAAAGAGTGCGATCCATTTTGCCACCAATTTCCTATCCTAGGATAAAGTTAATTTGTATATTGGATATGAACGTCTGGAATTAAAAAAATACCTATAGATTTCCAATCTTAACAATGCAGCAACTTGAGTGTTTTAGTTCACTGTGAAAAAGATTTAAAACAATGTGTGCGTACTACTTCCCTCCAACCCTCCCGGCGGCCATTCCATGTGACAGCTTTGAGAGGAAAACAAATCCAGCAGCCAGGTGTCTGGTGCCTGCCACCGGACAAAGACAACCACCAATATTTAAGCACCTAAGACTCTGAGTGTGAATACTGTTTATGTGAAAAGCTACAAGCAATAGAAAATATGGCTAACTTTGTTTAATGATGAGCATGGCATCTCTAAATATGTTTTAGGAACAATTTATACCATCTAAGAACCCCAAAGGAAGATATTAACTGAAGTAAATTTTGGAAATTTGTGTATGTTAATGCATCTAGAGGAGGAGAACTGTTTCCTTAATCAGCAAACAAAAAAGTGCATCTCCTTATAGACATGTAAAAATACCCATTATTTAATATATTATATAATATATACAATGTATATATTATATAATGTATGTCACATATAGATAAAACAGCTGACAATTATTTCCGATCTTAAAAATCATTCAGTAGGCTGGCTTCTCAACACAACAAATTGAACAAACACCTTAATGATCACATCGCACTTCAAAAAGCACACCGACTGTGCACACACCTCCCCAGCTGCAAACTCAGAGGCATTTTTAAGCATCACAGGATGCTTAAAATCATGATACATTTGCTGACCATATCCTAATAAAAAAAAAGCTGTCTGAAGAAATAGGTTCATTTTTGTCAGTTAAATTTTTACACACGAAAACGAATCGACTGTAAGTGTCATTTTGCTGTAAGGTTTTACGAGAGAAGGCACTCTCTCAGCCTGCACGGCCTTGCGTGCTGTGTATATGTTAATTCAGCATCGGCCTGTTACTGCAACAAATGAGAGTGCAAAGTATTGCTCTTCATTTTTTTTTTTCACTAAAGGTAGAAATGAAGGAGGAAAAAAACAATATATCAAAAATTAGAATGGATAGCCACATATCTCTGGAATAACAAAGCGATGTAGCACTGAGTGGACTTTTGATGTCAGATTTGGAGGATAGTTGGCTAGCTGTAGCAGTGACATTAAATTTCTGCTTCTATCAGAAATTATTTAGGAAAGAAGGCCAATAACTACTAGTTTCTCCTAATCAGAGTAACCGACCCACCACTAGTTAAATACTGAACTAAATGACAGTTTTACAAAACTATTTCAAGTATTCATTATCACAGTGAAAATGTGAGACTAATCTTAGAACGGATGATTTGAAAATTCCTTTGACGAAAAAGGCAAGGGTGCTAAATCAAAACATATACAAAATGCTTCAACGCATTTCTTTATGTGATATGAATAGAAAGGTTATCCATAAAAAGTTAGAAAAATTAAGATAAATTATATATTAGTACACCTTCCCAACCACGTTTTATATAAAAATTTGGAACAGTGTACTGGTATTTCAATCTACACAATAAAAATGCCTGGACTTGGCAGGTATCTTCTATCTGTGTACTTTCTCGGTAGAAGGTTTATTTGTTGCAGCCACTTTTTAAAAGTTGTATTTTAATTGTGAACCTTATTGACTCATCAGTAAACCCAGCTGATGGGGACCCACTGTGGTTCCATTCTCAGTTTCTCTATGGCAGTTTGTAGTTTCTCAAAGGCTTTGTCCAGATTGTCGTTTATGATGATCAAGTCGAAATAGTGGTTGTACGCTCTCTGAATGCGTGCACTTTCATCCACTGTTTTCTTCAAGTCAGAGTCCTGTTGAAGAGTTTTAGAAGAAAACGTTTATATTTTAATGTGTATTTATTTGCTCAAACACCAAGCCCAAGGGGACATGAGAAATAAGTAGGTTAGATCATTTTTTACTGTGATTCTGATATTAACCCACTAAATCTAATCTATAGAGAGTGCTGAAAAAGACATCACCACCTGTTCATATGCCAGTCTTTCCTGCTGTGTTCGTGTCTGCATTTATGAGTTTCTGAATCTTCTGATTTATTGATTTTAGGATCAATAAATCCAAGACGCCTAATTAAAAGACCGCTGACAATAATTTGAGGGTAAAATCTAAGGTAATAAAAGAATTACTGCAGGTGACTAGTCTCTAGCCCAACGATATCATCCTTTTCAAAAGATTTTTATCTTATGGACTCTAGATCATGGAAGCTAATTTGTAGTGGCCGTTAAGCTCAAAGCCAAATTTCCAGCCTACCTCTAAGAGGATCTTAGAAATGTATTTTGAAGACAAATTTTACATTATTTCTTTAGCTAGCATTGTTTATATTTCATAAAACATTTCTAGTTATTTTGGAATGCTGAAGGAGAATAAATAAGTAATGGATTCTGCATGAACAAGTAAAGTTTTTCATTAAACTGTGTTTTTGAAATTTTATAATACTTCTACATGTTCTTCGAATATTTATCGCATTCCTATTAAAGTGTCTATAATGTTTCATTATCTGTGGATATAATAATGAATAAGATAGGTGGGTTCCTATCCTATAGTGGAGGAAACAGATAAAGGGCAAATAAACACAAAAACTTGCAAGTTGTAGTAAGTACTATAAAAGAAGCCAATCTGGAACAAAGCATTTTAAGAGACCTATTTTAGATAGAATGATTACAGAGACACTGAGTAAATGACGTTTAAACCGTGAACTATAGTGGGGGAAGAGCATTCCAGGCAGAGGAAACAGCAAAACCCAGGAGAGAAATGACCCTGATGTATTTAAGATACTTAAAGAACAGCAAGATGGACAGAGGGTTTGGGGGAGAGGGGGCAATAAGTTGAGATGAGCAAGGAACAGGTCATGGAGGACCTAGATGCAATGGGAAGACACCTCTGGAGTATAATGGTGGCAGAGGAGATGGAAATGCCACCACACTGGAAATATATTTTGGTGATAAAATCATCAGGATTAGCTGATGGGGTGGATGCAAAAAGTGAGGGAAATGAATGAATGGGGGATAGCTCTGGGTTTTTGCTCGAGTAAATGGGTGTCTGCAGAAGATGCAGAGTTGGGGAGTGGGGATGGGGAAAATACGATTTGGAGGGAGGAAACAAAATGTTCTATTTTGTCCATATTAAGACGTCTGTGAGACACCTGAGTGGAGATGTAAAGTAAGCAGACGACTGGTTACTCAAGTCAGAGCTTGGAAGTCCGGTTCACCTATACACAAATCGGGGATCATCTGCAGGACACGGTATCTAAGTTAATCTAAGGACAGTGTAGAGAGAGAAATGGGCTCCCAGCGGGGCCCGAGGGCCACTAACACATTTTAGCTACCACTTTCACTGAGACCTCAAAATACGCTTGAAACAACTAAAATATCTTTTATTATGGATGTATAAACAGGCCACAATTCAACTTGAAAACAATTCTTACCTATTATAGTCATTAGCAAGCTGACTTGTTAAAAAAAAAAAAAAATCAGTTTTTTGACAATAACAATCCCGTAACAATAATGGAGCACACCATACGGATGGGAAAAAAAAGATTAAAGAGTCTCTCTCTATATATATGGCTATAAAGTGATCCTCAGAATATACTGGTAAGTGAAAAAATACAGGCAGACTAATTAGCTACCTTTTCTGTAGGAAGTAGGGGAAGAAAGATACACATACATACTTGCTTTTATTATAAAAATAGTAAAAATGTCTACCCTTGTGGGTGAGAGGAAACAGAGTAAAGAGGGCAGAGAAAAGCTGGACTTTTTGGTTTGTTTTTACGATTTACTCTGTAACTATGAAAAACGTATAACATTACATAACGAAATTAAATTCAAATGACAAAATGAACACTATCTAAAAATCAAAAGCAAAATGAAACAAACCTGTGTTTCAACCTGATGGCTTAACCACAGAGGAATCATTTCACTGACTTTAAAATAAAGTAACACCCAGTGGGATGTGCCCTGAGGACAACTTCGAAAAAAGTCTGAAACTTAAATGTGCTTCATTCACTTGTATAAAGTAAGAAATTATGTTACTGTCATCAGGAACCAATATTTTCAGCATAAGAGGAAAAAAGACACACATAAAGTCAAAGAAGTTAAGTAAAAATCATGTAAAATTTGAATTCGAACTACCAAATTAAACTAATGATGTGTTTTCTAACAAAGAAAAATGTATTTCCTACCTCTGTCCACACAAAAGGCCTGGAAACAAGGATCAGCTAAGTTGAACACACTCTTTTAGCATCTACATTATCTCTAAATATCATTTCCCACTTTAAAGAACCAGGGCTTTTAAATGGCTGATTCCAGGTTTGGGCCAAGAAATGTGTAAAGATAACTTGGAGCAGATTTTTGTACCAGGAAGCAACGAATCATCAAAGACTATCAGGTTGTGTTAAGAAGACTTCCCCTGGCTGAAGATAGGACAATTTAAACATCGAAAAGAGTAAAAACTGGCCTAAGTGCATAGAGAGGAAGCATTCCAAGTGACTTTAAAACAGCGATTTGACTATATATATATTTGTTGGCATAAACCAGAGGATTTAAAAAAAAAAAAAAGGGGGAGAAAAAAACAGTTTACAGTACTCATACTTGGTATCCCGTACTGATATACTTATTCTCATACTTGTAAGTATACTGTGGTACAAAGCAAATGAGCAATTATGTGATAGTCTAACATTCCTAGTGTTTTTGAGAACTGGGATACTTGGCATAGGAGAATGGAGTTAAACATATAAAAGAGATAAAATAAAAACCCTGTAATCCTAAATTTGAGTAGGAAGTATCAGTATGAATTCATGATATAGTTTCCTTCAAACGTACAATCAAAAAAGCATATATCCCAGCTCTCTCTACCTAAAAGGTATAGCAAGAAACAATGATCAATCTTGTAACACCCCTACTGTTAACAGTCCTCAAATACCATTTACCCTAAAACCATCCAGAGCTTCTTGGAGAAACAGCTGATTCCTGGACTGAAGTGGGAAATGTACAAGATGAGCCTGGAACATTTGTCATATCAGATAGCAAAGAAGCTAAGACTATTAGGCTTATGGAATAAGGTCTCAAGGGCGAACGTGAATAAGCTCTTATTGGTCGAAGATGGGACAATTTGAGCATCAATAAGAATAACAACTGCAATAAAGTAAAACATATCAAATGAGTTTAAATCCATGTGCTCATGATGAAACCAAAAAAAACAAAAAGACACACCTTACTTAGTCACCTTCATCTCTAGAGGCTCTTTCAGAACAAACTCAGTATTCTGAAAACTAACCCATAAAAGGAAAATATCAAGCATGTACCTTAATTTTCCTATAAGAACTCCACTTCGGAGTAATCAACTAGTTGATGAGGAAAAGTTATTTTTTTTAGAAGAACTCTAGTTTACAAATGCAGAAAGAATCACGAGCTTACAACATTACTATCCCTAAAAAAAACCAAAAAAACAAACAAACAAACAAACAAAAACCCCTGATCCAGGCAAAAATCAATAAAACTCGCTAAAATGATTAGGTGAAAAGTTACTTTACAGATCAGTCTAACAACACCTAAATCCACTGATAAATTTTATTACAAAAAGAGAGACAGCTTTTTTCATATGCCTCATAATGTAACAAAACAAGAAGTATCAGTTATCAATTATTCTTGAAAAAAAAACTGAACCTATATCTGATCAAACCTCTTATCAATTCACCAGAAATACAAGGAGTAGAAAATGACACAATGGGGACAGAACTGGCAAAATCCAAGCTATGGAACACTCTATATAGGATAAATGACCCAATTCTTTGAACAACTGAATTAGAAGATTAAAAAAGAGGGGAGGAGGAAGGCAGTGAGAACTTGAGATTAAAACAGACCAAAGGGAAATCTGCTTCCAGCTAAGATGCAGTAACAGGATCAGGCTAACCCTCCTCCTTGGCAACTAAAACAGTCAACATGTATGGAACGACAGTTTTTAAGACTTTGTACAACAGGCAGTGAAAGGCAGACATCCCAGAGAGATAGGAAACAAACGAAGTGAGCCCTGTGATTAGCCCCCATTACTGGCCTGAAAGGGTTTCCAGGCTGCAGCACAGTGAGGTGTAGCCCAGTAGGAGCCTATCGAACTCTCTAAGACAGGACAGAGCTGAGAGTCCAGGGAGACCCAGAGATCACAGGACAGAATACTGGACTGGAACAGAGAGCACGGAGAGACAACTTTGAAGACTTGCAAAAGGTCCAACATTTAGCTGAGTCCCAATCTGTACATGTATACAAATACCTGAGACCAACGTAGAGCCACCAGAGAGCATGAGAGGTATTCATCCTGAGCCAGGAATAGGACTTATTCCCACAAGCCAAAGAGAAAGCCTCACGCACAGCCCACTGGGAAGAGTGCTCAAATGCCCTTACCGCAGTAGTGGAAAATAAACGCCCCGAGAATGAGAACGGCTCTGGTCTTCCCTAACTCATTTTAAAAGCGAGACCCAGCAGGAACGAACGAGGTCCCAACAACCGCATCCCAGAACAAAGCCTACAACGTCTGGCATCCAATGAAAAATGACCAGATTGCAAAGGAGCAGGAAAACACAACCCACAATGAGGAGCAAAGTCATTCAATCAAAATCGACCCAGAACTGGCACAAATGTTAGAATTAGTAGCTGATGACTTGAAAACACTTGTTATAGCTATGTTGCAAATATTCAAAGAATTGAGTAGAGACATGGAGCAACCTGAAAAAGAATAAAGAGGACTAACACCACCTGGTCGCAAGGCTTAGAAGCTGCAGTGTGGGAAGAGGCGGAAGCGGCAGGAGGGAGGGATTCTGAAGGGGCACAGGGAAGCTTTTGGAGGTGATGGACATGTCCATTCTCTTGACTGCGACAGCTTCAGGGGTGCACGCGTGTGCCCAAACTTATCAAGTTATACACGTTCAATGTGTACAGTCCATTGTATGTCAATTATACCCCAATTAAGCTGGGGAAAAAGGGATTTAGAAGACGTCAAGTGATTGCAATGAGTTGATCTTATTTGGATCCTAATTTGAAGAAATCACCTGTAAAAATAAATTATAAATCATGGGGAAATTCAAATAAAGACTGTATACTGATGGTATTAAGTTGCTCTTATGGTTTACATGTTGACAGTGTTATGGTTATGTTTAAAAAGTCTTTGTCTTTTAGAAATAAATACTAAAATATTTACAGTTGATATGATATCGAAGATTTGCTTCAAAATTATTCAAAGTAAGGGTGGAAGCGAGGAGAGGTAATAATTAAATAAAAATGGCTACATGTTATTGAAACTAGGTGATGGGCACATGGAAGTTCATTTTTTTCTCTTTTGTATACATTTAAAATTTTCCATTATAGAGAGAGGAAGAGCAAGAGAAAACGTAACAGAAACTAAAATGGTCTTGGCTACGGCCACGCTACCCTGAACAAGCCCGATTCCATCTAAAATGGTCTTGGGGCCCAGTTTCTTCAGTAAAACGAGGGAGTTGAATTACTATGCTATTTTAATACTGGCCTACTTCATTTACATAGGGGGGAGTAAACTTTTGTTTTAAAAGGAAGTAAACAATGATTTTTAAGTAAAGGCGATACTATTCCAAATCCTATCTACATCCAGGAATGAATTTTTATTCTATATAATATCTTATTTTAAATAGGATGTTTATTCCATAAATATGATTCTATAGGATTAAACAAGCCCAAAAGCAAAGGAAAAAGAAACACCTTAGGAGGAAGTACTACTGTCAACCTGAAAAGAACCGCTCACCGTCAGAAGCTTGGTAGTGATGCCCGCATCCACCACAGCCTTGTGCATGGCACGTAACGTCTCTAGTTCTGGAGCAGCAATAAATACGACGTAGGGCATGAACTCAGACGTCCTCAGTACTTTCAGGGCCTGTGCAGAAGAACAATGACACACCAGTTTATACGGGATTAGAATCTGTTTCATGTTACCCTTTAATTTATACTAAATACTCAAAGTCTCTCCATCTGCTTCCGAAGGACTAAAGATGTCATTTCACACTTGCGCCACTTCCGCCCTTTTGATTCCATTCAGTGCTTTCCTAACATCGTGATCCGTTAATCGGGTTCTGACCTCAGTCTCGCTACTCTTTGATCCTCTAGAACAAAGGAAAGTATTAAACTTAATGATCCAAAAGTCACCGAGAATGATGTAAACGTTTTTCGTGTTCGTTGCAGAACTGTTAATATTGAAAAAGCTAGAAATAATCTCAGTGTCTATTAACTGAAGAGTGGTTAAATAAATTAGCGTACATCCAAACTAGGAAATACTACGCAGCAATCACGAAAGCTCGACAGCAACTGACATGAAAAACATCTTCAAGAAATACTGTTTAATGAAAAAAGCCAAAACATTTGTCTAGAATTTTTTTCCCATTTATGTAAAAAAGAAACAGCAAAAATAGAAAACCCATTACATTATATATATGTATATGTGTGTATATAATACATACATGTAAAGATTTATTTAAAGCACACTCAAAGACAAAAAGATAGAGAGCAAATTATCAGTAAGACGTATCTCTGAGTAGGGAAGTGAGGTCGGGTTGAGTGCAGAGGAGTGTAGAAGGAGTGAGAGACGTAAAATAAGAATGAAATGAATGTGTGTGTGTGTGTGTGTGTGTGTTGGGAGAGAAAGCGTGTGACTTAAAATTTTTATTCTCAGTGTCGCCGCAGCCTTGTTTAAATTTTAAATTTAACATTTCCTAAACGTGCATTTATATTACTTGAGCACATAAATAAATATTAAACTTCTCTCCACATTCTATTGCTATCCAAGCCTCTGTTGGCTAATTGATCAGGGATTTATTTAACCAGCGGACGCATAATAAAGTTCTCTATCTCAAAATAAAACAAAACAGAAATAGCGCAGGAAATGAAATTTTAAAAACAGCTTTGGAATCCATGAAGCTTACTTGTGGGTTGACGTCCAAGATGCAAGTTCGACCGGTCTGGACAACTTCAAGGATAGAATCGATCTTGGTTCCATAGAGATTTCCTTCATATTCCCCGTGTTCTAAATATTTCCCAGCTTTAATATCTGCTTCCATCTCTGATCGTGACACGAATTTATACGCTTGGCCATCTTTTTCATCTTCTCTTGGTTTCCGTGAAGTAACTAAATAAAATAATGTTGAGAATTTGCACAAAGAGAATGAAGGGTATTAGAAAATGGACTAAAAATACACAGGGAAGCTTAAGATTTTTTCCATTTAGTGCAGGCGCTGGCAAACTATGGCCTACGGCCAAATGCGACCTGCTTCTTATTTTTGTAAATAAGTTTCACTGGACCACAGCTATGCTCATTCCTTTTATAGTCTATGGTTTTATTCATTCTGTACTGGTGGAGTTGTTGTAACAGAGATCAGATGGCTTGCAAAGCCTAAAATATATATGATGTGGCCGTTGAATAAAGTAGTTTGCTGACCCCTGATCTATAGGAATGTTTTAAGAGGGACTCCCCATTATGCAATTTGTATCCAAAAATTGTGCTTTATAAGGTCGGTTTGAAACTCAAAATACTACCTAGTAGCAGAGCCTTACATTTAAATTCTTAATTATGGTGAATCATAAGTGTGAGGTATGTTTATGTTGCAAGTGAATACGTTTTTCAGTTGACCAGCACACCCCTTCTTAAAGAATATCAATTATATCCACTCTTTACACTTTAACATTTCCTAATCGAGACATCGAAGACGAAGAGGAGAAAGGAGTCATAGGTAGCTCCGCCCTCTGGGTTAACAGTTTTTTCTCTTTTATTTTAGGATCATTTTATAAAATACAAAGAAAGTTAAATCAATTTAATACAATGCCAGAATTCACCTCCTTCCCCAATGAGACTTCCCAATCTATACCACCTGACAATGTGCAACACAGTATCATATATCAGAAATTAGGCAAACTCGTCCCACTTTATCAGTGTTTCTTTTTGTGTGTTGATTTTGAGGCTTAAAAAAAGAGCTAGATACTGTATAAATTAATGATTTAAAGAAAAGTCAAAGATGACTTGATGGATATATATATAAATCTCTCTATAATAAAAATTCAAATTTGAATCTTTACTATAAGTAAAGGTCTGTTGAAAGATAAAATAGTACATCTTTCTGGATATTAATTTGGCACTAAGAAATCAAGAAATTGAAACATATATGTATACATATGTATGTGTGTGTGTGTATATATATCTCTAATAATTTTATATCAGAGATTGTGTATACATACTGTCATCTCCTTGTAACAAAAGTCATCACCCAAATCATATAAATGAACAATAATAGTAATGGTTAAACAAAGCATAGTATACTTTATTTAAAGCATTAGTATACTGGAATATTAAGAAACTTTTAAGATTAATTTTGAAGTTTTTTTTTAAATCATGGTAAAACATACATAACATAAAATTTATCATTTTAACTGCTTTTAAGCACACAATTCAGTGACATTAAGTACATTCACACTATTGTACAACTATCACCACCATCCATTTCCAGAACCTGTTCCTCACTTAAACTGAAACTCTGTGCCCCTTAGACAGTACTCTCCATTATGCCCTACCCCTGGCCCTGGTAATCACTACTCCACTTCCTGTCTCTATGAATTTTACTGTCCTAGGTATTTCAAATAAATGGAACCATACGATATTTATCCTTTTGTGTCTAGCTTATTTCACTCAGCCTACTGTTTTTAAGGTTCATTCATGTTAGAGCATGGATCACAATTTCATTCTTAAGGCTGAATAATATTCCATTGTATGTACATATCACATTTAGTTTATATATCTATCCACTGATGGACATCTGAGCTTTTTCCACCTTTTGGCTATTGTAAATAATGTTGCTATGAGCATTCATGTATAGATACCTGAGCCCCTGCTTTCAATTCTTTTGGGTATATACTTATAAGGTGAATTGCTGGATCATATGGTAATTCTGTTTAATTTTTTGAGGAACTACAATGGGTGTACCATTTCACACTCCCACCAATAATGGATAAAGGTTCTAATATCTCCACATCTTTGCCAACACTTATTTTGTTTTTGTTTTCATGTATATAAAACTATCTTAATGGTATATCATTAAGATTTTGATTTGCATTTTATTGATGATTAGTATTGTTCAGCATCTTTTCATGTGCTTATTGACCATCTGTATATCTTCTTAGCAGAAATGTATATTCAAGGTCTTTGTCCGTTTTTAAATGGAATTTTTTCTTTTATTGTTGAGTTATAGAATATTTACAAAAAAAGTAATGACTTGTGAGAAAAAGCTCATGGTATAATAAGTCCATTCACTCACTCATTCATTCATTCATTCATTCAACAAATATTGGGTTATATACTATATGCCAGATCCTGTTCTAGATGCTGGGCTTGTAGAAGTACAAATGACAGACAAGCTCTGTGTTCTCATGGGACATATTCTTGAATGTGAAGATAGGTGAGTAGTCAAGTAACAATTAAGAATTTAAGTGCTAAAGCACAACCACTAGGTACTGGGGAAGCTACTTTAGAATGAATAATCAATAAAGGCCTCTGAGAGAATGAGACCTTAATAAAGAGTAAAATTCAAGCACATGAAGATCTGGGAAGTAGAGTGTTCCAGGCTGAAGGACCAACAAGAACAAAAAGGTGTAAATGATAAGTTTAAGGAGTGTGAAGAAAAGATCAATGTGTTAAGTAGGGAAAAAAGTATGCAAATTTTATATGAATAAAATGATTGTAATTCTGTAAGTTGAAGTTCTTTCAATTGTTTTCTTTATATTTGTAAACAGAATGTTAAATGAGACTTTTCTTGTGGTCCCACAATTTCCTTCAAGTCCCAGGTAGGTGCTAGAATAAAAGACTGATAGCCTCCTCTTTTGGAGTTTACCAAAAAGCAGCCAACTTAATCCTGGTATCATCCATTTACCTACTTCTATCGCATATGTACTCAAAAAAGAGTCACTGAGATAATGAGTCATAGGTTTGGGAGTAATGCTTTCTTTTCTTTTTCTCCTTACCCCATGGAAAAATAATTGAAAGTAAAAGGAAGGAAAAGGTATACCACACAAACAATAACCCAAATAGAGCTGGAATGGCTATACTCATACCAGACAAAACAGACTTTAAGAAAAAAAACTGTTATTAGAGACAAAGAACAGTTTATAATGAAAAAGGATCAATTCATAAGAAGATAAAACAATTATACTCCCATTTTCTTTTTTTACATCAAACTAAGAAGTTTTTATATAGCAAAGGAAACCATCAAAAAGAACCTACTGAATGGGAGAAGATATTTGACAAAGGGTTAATATCTGAAATTTATAAAGAACTCATACAACGAAAACATAAACAATCTAGTTAAAAACTGGGCAAAAGACCTGAATTGGTATTTCTCCAGAGAGGAAATACAAATGGCCAACAGACATATGAAAAGATGTTCAAGATCACTAATTATCAGAAAAATTAAAATTAAAACCTAATGAGTTATCACGTCACCCCTGTCGGATTAGCTATCATCAATAAATCAAAACACAACAAGTGTTGGCGAGGATGTGGAGAAAAGGGAACCCTCATACACTGTTGGTGGGATGGCAAATTGATAAAGTCACTATGAAAAATAGTTTGGAGGGTCCTCAAAAAATTAGAAATAGAACTACCTTTTGACCCAGCAATTATACTTCTGGGTATTTATCCAAAGAAAACCAAAACACTAATTTGTAAAGATCTATGCATCCCTATGTTCACAGCAGCACTATTCACAATAGCCAAGATACAGAAGCAACCTAAGTGCCCATCAAGACATGACTAGATAAAGAAGTTATAGTACATATATGCAATGGAATATTACAAATCTTATCATTTGTAATGAGGGTATTATGCTGAGTGAAATAAGTCAGATAGAGAAAGATAACACTACATGATTTCATTTATATGTGAAATCTAAGTAACAAAAGAAATAAAAAAACTAAACAAAAACAGACTCACGGATATAGAAAACGAATTGGTGATTGCCAGAGGGAAGAAGGGTTGGGGGGGCTGGGTAAAAAAGGTGAAGGGATGAAGACATACAAATTAGTAGTGACGAAACAGTCATAGGAATGTAAAATACAGTATTAAAAAATAAAATAAAATCTTTGTCTAGGAAGTCCAAAATCTGTGCTTAAGGGCGGAGGGGAGAGAAAATAATTTTAAGCACATATGCATCTAACAACAGAGCCCAAAAATACATAAAGCAAAAACTGACTGAACTGAAGTGAGAAATAGATAAGTCAACAATATTTGGAGACTCAATACCCCACTTTAAATAATGGATAGACAAATAGGAGGAAATAGAAGGCTTGAACAACACATTAAACCAACTAGAACTAACAGACATCTATAGAACACTCCATCCAACCACAGAGAATACACAATCTCTCCAAGGGTACCTGAAATATTCTCTCCAGCCAAATCATACCTGAGGTCATAAAACAAGTCACTGTTCTCTGACCATAATGGGATTGGAAATCAGTAACAGAAGAAATTTGGGAAATTCAAAAAATATGTTGAAATTATACTCTTAAATAATTAATGGCTCAAATAAGAAATCACAATGAAATTATAAAATACTTGGAGATGAAAGAAAACAAAAAAATGCAATACCAAAAATTATGAGATGCAGCTAAAGCAGTACTTAAAGGGAACTTTTGGCTGTAAATGCCTACATTATGAAACATGATCTCAAATGTAATCTAACCTTCCACCTAAAGAAAATGGAAAAATGGTAAACAAACCCAAAGCAAGCAGAAAGAAGGAAATAGTAAGGATTATAGCAGAAATTAATGAAAGAATAAAAAAATAATATAGAAAATTTTAAAAAGCGAAAGTTGGTTCTTTGAAAAGATCAACAAAATTGATAAACCTATAGGTAGAGTAACCAAGAGAGAGGACTCAATTTACCAAAATCAGGAATGAAAGAGAGGATATTACTACAGATCCTGCAGAAATTCTGAAGCTGAAAACCCCAGGCTCAGAATGCTTTGTGGGTAAATTCTATGAAACATTTAAAGAATAATTAAAAGTAACCCTTCACAAACTCTTAAAAAAAAAAGAAGAGGAAGGAACACTTCCCAACTTCTTCTATGAGTCCAGTATTACCACGATATTAAAATTACCCAACGAAGTAAGAAATAAACACTATAAATCAATCTCTTATGAGTACAGATGCACAAATCAGCAAAATACTAGCAAACTAAATCTAGAAGCATTTAAAAAGTATTACACACCATGGCCAAATGGCATTTACCACAGAAATGTGATTAAAGGAAAAAAAAAAAAAAACAGTCATATGATCATCTCAATAGACACTTAAAAGGCATTTATAAAACCCAGTACCCTCTTTCAGAATAAAAAGTCAACAAACTAGGAAGAAAATTTCTCCATCTGACAAAGGCTATCTAACAAAAACCCTAGCTAACATCATACTTAGTGATGAAAGACTGAGTGCTATCTCTCTAAGATCATGAACATTGATAAAAATATCCACTTCTGCCACTTCTATTCCACACTGCACTGGAGGGTCTACTGAGAGCACTGGCAACAAAAAGATTAAAATACTTAGGAATAAATTTGACAAAAGAAGCATAAGACTTGTACACTGAAAACTATAAATATCACCAAAAGAAATTAAAGACCTAAATAAATGAAAGACAAGCCATGTTCACGGATTGGAAGACTTGAAGTTACTAAGTTGGCAATACCCCCAAAATTGATCTACAGATTCAACACAATCCCTGACAGAATCCTAGCTGCCTTTCCTGCAGGAACGGAAAGCTTATTCTATAATTTATATAGAAATGCCAGGGACCCAGAATAGCCAACAACATCATCGACAAAAAATCTTGAAAAAGAACAAATTTGGAGGATTCACAATTTGATTTCGAAACTTATTACAAAAATGCAGTAATCAAGGCGATGTGGATCTGGCATGAGAACAGACATAACGGTCAATGAAAGAGAACTGAGAGTCCATAAATAAATCTTCATATCTATCGTCAACTGATTTTTGAAAAGGTGGCAAGACAATTCAATGGAGTGGAAAACGGCACAGCCACTGTGGAAAACAATGTGGCTGTTTCTCAAAGGGTTAAACAGAGTCACTACCAATTTCATTCCTAGGTATATGCCTGAGAAAAATAAAATGTGTATGTCCACATAAATACCTGTACACAAATGTCAATAGCGGCATTATGCATAATAGCTAAAAAATAGAGCAATCCAAGTGTCTATCAACTGATGAGCAGATAAACAAAATGTGGTATAGCCATAAAATGGAATATCATTTAGGAATAAAAAGAAACTAAGTACCGATATCTTCTATAACATGGATGAACCTTGAAAATATTATGTTAAATAAAGAAGTCTATCACACAAGACCACATATTGTATAATTACATTTCTCTGAAATGTCCAGATAGGTAAATTTATTGTGACAGAAGCCCACTAATCATCATCATACACAGTGAGTTAAAAAAGATGCACATGAAGGCACATCATTATTCGATTTCAAACTACTGAAAAACAACAAAATAAGAGACCCTGAATATCTGAAAGAAAAATCAGGTAATGTATGAAATAACAAGACTTAGAATGGCACTGGACTTCTTAACAGAACTGGATTCGGGAGTAACATCTTTTGAGTTCCACAATCTAGAATTTCTAATCTCAGCTAAATAATCAATCAAATACAGGGCAGAAAAAATACATCTTCGAATACAACAATGTAGAGATTATATCCCAGATACCAGCAGTCCCCAACCTTTTTGGCACCAGGGACCAGTGCTCCTATAGGAATCTAATGCCTGAAGATCTGAGGTGGAGCTGAGGCTGTGATGCTGGCGCTGGGGAGCGGATGAAAATACAGATGAAGCTTTACTTGCCAGCCCCTCACCTCCTGCTGTGTGGTCCAGCTCCTAACAGGCCAAGGGCTGGTACCAGTTCATGGCCTGGGGCTGGGGACCCCTGCCATATATCATTTCTTGCAAAGTTATAAGAGGATGTGCCCTGTCAAACAAGGCAATAAACCAAAAAAGAAAAAGAACAAGACCAGAAACAACAGCTTCAACCCAGGACTGAGACGAGGGGAAACAGCCCCAGGCTAACGGAGGGGCGGGGCGGCCAGAAAGGAGAGCGCGTAGTGAGAGAGTGTAGTCCTCACTGAAGCAGGAAGACTGAGGTCGCCAAGAAAGAAACAGGACTTGCTGGAGAAGTGAGTCTTTGGTTTAAAACAAAACTATATGCATATACACATAAAGTCCAGGCAAAGACGGGGAGGAAAAGAGATGTCTAGTGATTGCTGGGTGCGGGGAGACAGAGAGGCCGTTGAAAATAAAATTGAATTAACTGAAACTAGAGCTACATTTATATTGGGAGAATAGTCAGGAAGTCAACAGATGAGGTCTACACTGCGTAAAGCAAGGTAGAGCAGAATGAGGACATTATTAAGACATATGGAAGACTACCAAAAGAAACGGCGAAAAAGAATGAAAAATGACTTTCTGGTAAGCAGGCCAGAGGTGGGGTAGAAGAAGGCAGGGGGTTATTTTTTTTTCATTATATGTCTTTAAGAACTACTTGATTAAAATACTGTACATGAATTAAATTGATGAAAATAAAAAATAAATGCTTTGATCACAGCGAGGTGTTTTTATAACTACTTAACCAGGTTTGTCTGAATTTAATGATTGATAGCACCTATGATGGAATCTAAAGCCTCACCCTGAAGAGATTACAAATAGCACGTGGGGGCAATGATAAGGTTACTCCCCCAACCAACCGCTCACAATTTTAGCATTAAGATGAGTCCCTGAGAATTAAACCTCAAAACGTGCTGGATGAAAGCAGAGGAAGTCTAAAATGCATCTAAAAGAGACAAGAGTGATGTCTGGCTAAGCTTTGGCTCAGAATATACCTAAAGAAATACTGTGTTAATCCAAAGAGGGCTTGGCCGGCAAAAGCAGCACAGAAAGGGGAGCTATGAAGGCAACGCTGGCTTGTCTCCTGCATCGTTTAGGGGACAGAACACGTAAGTCCCCACAAGTAAACGTTCATGCATCTTCAAAATAAAGACAAATGTATTTTAGACCTTATAATAAATCAGTGATATCGTCTAATTCCTTGATCTAATTCCATTCTCATCAAGCATACTTTTGACATCATTGTTAAACTTTCCACGTAAATATGCAAATAGGAAAAGAATGTAAAGATCATAAAATGAGTGTTTGGTTCACTTAACGGTTATATTTCCCATCAGTATCATTTTATTTTGTATATAAATCTTTGTGATCTTAATTAATGCTGCCTGCTATGGAAGATAAATTGCTTTTGGTGTGCTATCGAAAATCAGGTTCATGACTTTACCGACTTCTGAGAGCTACAAGCTGAATTACATAAATTTGCAAAGGGATTAACACGATGAGAAATGTCTGAGGATTCAGCAGGTTTGTACCTTTTCTTTACACAAGGGTCCCCAACCCCCAGGTCAAGGACCAGTACAGGTCCGTGGCCTGTTAGGAACCAGGCTGTACAGCATGAGGTGAGCGGCAGGCAAGAGAGGGAAGGGTCACGTGTATTTGCAGCCGCTCCCCAGCGCTAGCATCATTGCCTCAGCTCCACTTCAGATCATCAGGCATTTGATTCTCACAGGAGCACTGGTCCCTGGTGCCAAAAAGGTTGGGGACCGCTGCTTTACACTAAACTAGTGAAAAATAAAAATGTTCAGATAGAGATCATGTGTAAAAGAAAAATACAAAGTTAATGCTGATTTTGCCACAACTCTTAATACGTGCATTTAACTAACAATTCTGAACTGAAGAGTTTGGAGAAGGAACAGCCATCAGGCAGTAAGCCAACAAGGCAATAGCACTATTTCAAGACAGCTGCAGTCACTGATTTTTTCAGTGTCTTCTACTTGCTCATTTTCGCTGACATAATAAAAACTTTTTTGGGAATAAAAATAATAATCATCTGCCCCTACTTCACTTTCCTGCCAATTAAATAGCCAAAAAAAAAAAACCCCAAAAAACAAAAAACACCTCACAAAAAAACTTACATGGCACTGTAGTTCCAAATCTGGTAGGATTCAACACTATAAACCTGTTCTTCAAGCTTCTTCGTCCAACGCCTTGAGCTCCTATCAATACCAACGTCTTTCGCTGGAAGGGAGGCATTTTGGCTACCTCCTCATATATCTGGATTTCATGACGATCAAATTCTAAATGTAAAAGGAAATGGACCTCATATTCAGTTATCTTTTATATAGATGAAAACCTCTGCTGTTCTGTTCAGTAATGGCTTAGTTGTCTTGATAGTTAAATACCACTTGAATTATATTCAGTACACATTTATTTTTATACATTTGGTAAAGTACATAAATTATTTTATATTTTGATTTAAACATCTGCTTCCATCTATTTGCCCTTAAAAATGTTATTTAGCCAAGCTAAAAAAAAAAATGCCTGCGCTTTATCCTTATCACATAGTCTATCCATTACAATCTCTTTCTTACCAATTCATCAGTAGAATAATTCCTTTAATATAAATAACCAAATGACAAATAGTTATATAATTTATATATATAAAGTGTGTACCTAATATGGAGGGCAGCAGTACACCTAGTGTGCGTGGCTGCTTAAATAAGTGCCGTAGAAGGAGTAGGCCCTTCCAGTGATGTAAATGAATAAATGATGTCTGGTGACTCTGCAAATATCAGTTTGATTAATAAAATGCATATAAACATACTGACATCTAAATATTAGGATTCTGAATTTATGTAATAAAATATAATATAGGATCCAAATTATTTTCAGTAGAAACACACTCCAAAGTTATAATCTTAGTCAATGGGAAAATCACAAATTTTATATTTTGCAAGAAAGCTTTAAGGACATACATTTAATGAATAATAAAGCCAAAGCGAATCTGAAATATTATATTGCCTATTATTCTGGCTATAACTTTCCATCTGTAGTAATAACACATCTTCCTTAGGCTATGATTTTAATGACAACTCTTTCTTCGCACAATTTCTCCACAGCACATTAAGCTAATATTAAGGGAGAATCTATTTTCTCTTTGTTAGTATTATTATGATAGTATTTCCCTTATCATATGCTATTTAGTTTATTACCAGTGGAGAGACAGCTATGAAGTCAAGAAACTACTTTAAAACCATCGGTTCCTCTGAGTAGACCTCCAGAGCCTTCTGGTTCAGGGCTATATATACTTCACTCCTATCAGCCTCTCTAACCGAAGAGAGCAACTATGATAGTTGTCATATTTATCTTTCCTTAAGTCTAAAAGATTTTAGAAAGAATCCTACTAGATCAGACTAAGATTTATTTGGTCCAGTAATATTTTTCCAAAAGTATCATGGACAATGTTATGGCAGAATATAGTTCCCCTCAATCATAACTCTTTAAGCATCTTCATAAAGGCATTTTGCTCTTTAGAAATGACACATAAATTACTTTTGAAGTTCTCCGAACAAATCGTTTCAATGATAACATTGCTCCTTCATTAATAAAGCATACATCCTAACCAATTCATTTTATTGTAAACTGTACTCATGAAATAAAGCACACCGGTGATAGTATACGTATATGTAATACCAGGATTTAAATAATGTCTTCATATTATATTGTACCATGTATTCACAGGCCAGCCCCTTGCAACTAGGTACTAATCTGAATTACATTCATCGAAAATTACACATTGAGAGTTTATGCTACACTGATTAACAATATAAAGTTATTTCACTTAGACTTCTCAGAAAGTATTTCAAACATACCTGCATTTCTGGTTGTGAGATACATCATCTTTTTCTTTTTTTTGCTACTTATGGTTCCACAAAAAGGTCCTGAAGGGTGACAAGACAAATATAACTTAAACAGTATGTACGAATATGATAAAACTGCCCTGTGGTTTTCTACAGGGATGGGGGAATTATCTTTCCAGTGTTGCATCCTACAATGAAGACCGGGGTGGCTGAGCCACGCAATTCTGATACCATACCAGCAGGTGGCAGAAAGGGACCAAAAAGTTTACTTTTGAGAGATACAATGAGGCCGGTGGGAGGGATTAATTCTAGATATATTTTAAATAAATTCATTTGCTGGGTCGGATCAAAGAGGCAAGGAAAGGTGGCCACAAAGGACTGCGTGTTACTCATCGTGTGGAGCTCGTCACCTGAATTGTCCCAGTCTCTTCTGACAAATGCCTTTCTCTTCTCTTCCAGGAACTGGCTTGGAATGAGACCAGCGCTTCCTCCCTCTTTTACATGGCTAGCCTAGAATCAAATTAATGAATTGTATATCTCAGTGACCAAAATTTGAGACCATATTCTAAAAAGTAGGACAAGCGGTAGTCAGTAAAAAAAAAAAAAAAAAAAAAAAAAGAAAAGACTATATATACATCACATTTGCTCTTAAAAACTGACCTTGAGATTAAAACCCATGGCATTGTCAAGTTAAGATATTTAAACACTTTGGCACTGAGGAATCGACTGGCATCTAGTCAATCCATCATCTGGTAGGAAAATTTGGGGACCAAAGCACTTTAAATTACTAAAACTTTTTATTTACAATACTAAGCCAGTCAAAGAATGGAAAGGAATATAATTCTGTGTGCTCACAGGATATTTCGCCCAGCAGCCTCTAGTCAGGTATTGATTAACATCCCTAATCCTGCCATGTTGGTAATGCCTGAGGCCAAACCAAAGAAAAAGCCAGTACTGGGGAAATACAGTGGCGAGTTTAATTCGTGCTGCCAGGAATCTGAATATCCTGAGAGGCCGTAAGCTTTGAAACTGTCAAGAAACTTTTAAAATAAAATCCAAAGAAGTGCTGTTTTAAAAGAGTGGCTGGAGAACTGGCTGCAAGTGGTGACTTTATCTTTATAATCAGCATAAAAAAAAAAAATCTGGTATATCTTTAGCAATTAAAATCCTGAAAAATAGAATTAAAATAATAGACCACAAAATGCAGGAAGAAATTGAGAAAATGGTGACAAGAATAGAAGAGAAAACTAAGACATGGCATTCACGGAAAGAGGAAAAAAAAACTGGAAAAGTTCTCTGAGCGAAACAGCCACAGAAAGGAGATTTTTTAGATGGGCATGCTAAGGAACGCCGTGGAAACCTCTTAAAATTGTGGAATCTATTGAATTTACCTATTTCTTAGTTCTCTCATTACACTTGTACATAATAACGTCTTAATGTAAAGTCAAGAATACATTAGTAAGATTGTTTCGTTCTTATAATTCATTCCCCCATAGAAGTCTATATAACTTATTAGAGCTAATGCGGGCTACTGATATCTCGGTTTAATTCAGAGTTTAGTGCTAGGTCCCGAGACCGTCCCTCCCACAGCTTGTCCTTTAATGAGATTCTCATAAGCTCTGACAGGGGAAGAGATTTTAGACTTTCTGATTTGTCAGTTTCTCCAGTTGTGAGAACTGGAGATTGTTAGCCAATGTAAACAATGACGAAAACAGACTTAGTACTATTGCTAAAGATTTCTGAAAACTGTACTAAGGGAAAGAAAAAAGAACATCATCACGCAGATCCTCTGGAAAACGGAAGGGGAGAATTATGGTGATAACACGCTTCGTTTTTATATACACAGATTTCAATCTGTGATCAAAAACAACACTGATGATGAAGCGAACCTGCATTTCTCAATAACTAAAAAGAGGCGGGCAAATATATTTAACAGCTTAAGAAATTATGTTTTAGTTGCCATGAATACAGAGGGAGAGGAAATAAGAGAAAGACCACTATACCCATAGTAGAAGACTCCTAGTTAAAACAAACAAAATAAACATTGGAAAGAGATGACCCCAATTGAGTGGTTCTTACTGCGATACCCATGTGGAAGAACTAACTGGTCTAATCTCTTAAACCAACAGGATGACACCACAGGCTAGTTAATTTCTTCATTCATTAACAGCTACTCACAAATTCCCTCTCAATTTGGTCTTCTGTCCACAAAATTAGCAGCCATGAAGCAGGAGCTGTTCATGCAGGAAAAATCATTGGAACAAATGCTAAAACCTTCTTCCTGAATATTCAGATATTGGCCAGATCTAAGATTGAAAATAAAAAAGCAGTTGAGGAAATTTTGAGAAGCATACTAACCTGCCACCAGTTTGGATCTTCTCTGTTTACAATTTGAAGAATTTCTCCTTTTGAAAACTTCAATCCTGCTTCTTTGCAGGGTATCAGGTTATCATTGTATGGATTATAATCAAAATGACATTTCACAAATACCTAAAACACACAGCACAATTAAAAATACTACAGCTGCATCATTTGTCACTGGATTTTTGAAATCTTTTTCAAACCACTGTGATTTTTTGATGTAATTGATAATGTATTTAGTACTAAGGAATCTGTCTCTCAAAAATAAAAATTAAATTATTAGCACAGTAATAATTTGGTATCCAAAAATACAAAAATTAGTATCACATTAAAATTTTATTTCTATTTTAACTTCTAATCTTAAATCCACATTTTATTAAACCCACTATTCTTATCTTTTTCTCCATCTTTTCACAAATTTTTCCAACCAACACTGCATAATTTGTATGTAAATTCTACTTTCTAATTAACATTCTGAAACAATATATGCAGTTGATTTAAGGCATGAATTTAAGATATATTAGGACCGACTTTTTGAAAAGGCCCTGAAACCAAAATTAAATAATAAAAGTTCATGTTGAAGTCAGACCTGAAATATATTTAGTCACCTTAAAAAAATTAAAAGCCCAACTTTCATCTTTGGTCATAGTAGTTTATTAAATCATATAGACTTACAGTGGTGTGGAAAATACTTTTCTGGAATCATCTTGCTCTGATTTAAATGATTGGCATTAAATCAAATTATAAGACAAATACTGAAAAAGCCCTGAAACTGTTTTCCACTTTAAATTTACTTAACTACAAATTTCTTTTAAATTTGTTTTATCAATAAAAGTATGTCAGTTACTATTAGTTATGATCTCCAATATCTAAAACATTTGGCTTATTTATTTTTTAATATATATTCTAATTAAGTTAAGCATTTTCAGTATTTGGTGGCAAGTTCAGACCAATTACTTTCTTAAAACAAACTCTTTTCATGCATATGGAAATTCAAATTTTATGTTCTAAAGAACTGACTTAGCATTTAACAAGCAGGAAAGCACATAATTAGTCAAAATAATATTATTTTTCTATTTCTTTATCATACCTCAAAAATACCCATACAAGATATTCAAATAACACAAGCAGATACATTATATTATTAATGTAGTAAAATGTAATGTGATGGCTGCATGTTAAAATAATTTAAAAATAACAATCTGAGAACATGTGACAAAATTTTAGTTATTTACAATTAGGTGATTTCGATAGAAAGCATTCAGAGCATTTTCAATAACTTTGGAAAGGCTAAATATTAATGCTTAAAAATCAGTAAGCCAATAATTTTTTTATATCTAATTTTAGAAATATCTAAAAAGCAACCATACAAACAATATTAAGACTGCCTAAAATGTGACAATTGACTAACTTGACAACGGCATGCAGCTCAAGGTTTTGGCAATGAAAAAACCCAAAATGATTAAGTTTAATCAAGATAAATTTAGTTTGCTGATAAGACAGAAAATCAGAGTACCAGAGAATGTCCTGGAATGACATCATACCTGATGGACGTGTGCTGGATGCCTCTCCATATTGATGCAACTCTAAAAACATATTTTTCATTGCATAAATAAAGCCAGGCTTTAAATGAATAAGTTAACAAAATGTAAACAAACTACTGGCCCATTTTATTACTTCACTCATTTGATAAAGCAATTAATTCCTTAAATAAGTGTCCATGGGTTATAATATCTGAAAATTATAAATGATAGAAGCAAAAAGAAGTGTTCGAGATGAGGCAGAGAAAAAGGATGGATATGCAAAGTTGTAAAAATACTCGAGTACTCCTTACTTATCAAGAAAGGTGCACTAAATGAATAATAAAAGCATCCTGTCATCTAACCATGAATATGTTTACCATTTTTATCTGTGGGACAGAATGTTTTGTAACCATAAAGTTCAGACTTTCTCAGTTAGTCCAAATTTCAAATATTCATTCCCCTACTCTCATCAAATTGTTCTGGAAATGTCATTATTTGTGGAACACAAATCCTATCTTTCATATGTAAAAGATTTCTAAAAACCAATTTTACTTCTTTATTTATCAAATTAATTTTGGAACATTAGTCTCATGCTCAAAATTTCAGATTAAACTGGTTTTACTTTATGAGACTCTCTGCCTCATAAAGGTTTTGAGTATTTTTGTTAGATTTATTCCTAGACATAAATGTGACATTCTCTGAATTTATTGTAAATGTCTGTCTTAGTTACATTTCTAGATGTTTGCTCATGACATACAGACATGCAACCAACTTTTGCAGATATTTTCAAGTACCTTGCTAAACTCTATTATTTCTAATAATGTATAGTTCTGGGGAGTTTCTACGTAAAAATCATATTATTTGAAAATAATAAGTTTTATTTTCTCCTTTCCAAACCCTTTGCTTCTATAATTTGTTCTTGTCTTTTTGTGCTTATGGAACTTTCAATAAAATATTGGATAGAAGTGGTACTAGTGAATATCCTTCTTTAACTCTTAAATTGTTTTTTTTTAACTGGGCGAAGACTATTAATCCTTGTTTTAAGCTTTATGTTCTGGCTTCTTTGGCTTAATTAACTGCAAAGAAATAATGATGTATAAGCAATAAGTGTCCAAGGGCCTCAGAATTTCATTAAATTCTAAACAAACATTTTTGAGGCAGTCAAAATTCTTGGTTTTATTTTTTAAAGAAGTTGAGTCGATTCCATTTGCCTCATTGTTGGAAGCCTCATCAAAATTCTGAACAATATCACCCTCGTCCCCAACAGCAAGTGGTGCTTTTCCAACCAGCTTCTGCCAGGGTCTGTAAACTCATTGATACCAAGGTGCCTAAGATGCTGGGTAGCACTTCTGTCAGCTGCTTTGTCTAAGCATGGCTGGTAACAGCAAAAGTATTTGCTGCCAGAGATGTCTGAACATCAGGATTGTTACAAAGTGGGTCACCATTCCCTGGTGTGCAAACATACTTACTTCTTTAATATCAGAGATACTGTATACTCTTAGTTTCTTTAAGGAGAAGTAAAGATTTTTATCATCTATTACAAGAGATATTTGTTATATCATCTGAGGGCATTTCCTTTTTACCAATCACAATCATGCCTGAAGTTTGGCAAGTTTCTCTTGGCCTATAAGTAGTCTCGGGCAGACCAGCTGAATTGAAGGTCCAGTTCCTGATTTAAAGGAGAATGCTTCCAACAGGCAACTATTCAGAATGTTTGTTGTAGTTTTTTTTTTTTTTTCCTTTAAGTAAGATTAAGAAGGTTCTTTCCCGTTCCTAATTTATTAACCTTTTTTTAAGAATCATGAATAGGTATTAAATTTTATTAAATTCTCTATTGAGGTTTTTGTCTTTTAGTCTGGCAATGTGCTTGTTTACATATATGGGTTTTCTAATATAAAACCATCCTAAAATACATGGGATAAATCCAACTTGGACATGTCGTATTACCATTTTTATACATTGTTACATCTCATTGCTAATATTTCCTTGAGAAATTTTACATGGATATCTTTGAGTGAAATGGAAATGTAATTTCTTTTCTTACAATATTTTTGAGACCTGGGTCATGCTGGCCTCGAATAAGTAAAAAGAATTCCCATCATTTAGCCTTCATGAACAAGCAGAATTATTAATAGCCTTTGAGAACCTAACCTACATGCAAATTGCAGATCTTCAAAATTAGTTACAACTTCTAACTCACCCCGATGTTCAAATTTAAATATGTAGATCTTTAGGTCTCATGTGAAAGATTTTGGACTTTTAGCAAGCACCGCAAATGATACTGATAGAGATGATCTACTGACCATGCTCTGAAAAACATCACTCTGGGGAGGGAGAGCTGGCTTCTAGCTGC